TTATGAGGTCTTCTGACTCTATAGCCAGGGTCAATTTCAGGCCTTTATTTGTCATCCAATATTTAAGAAAATCTATGACATTATTAGGGCAAGGAGTTATGTAACATTTATCATTTAATAAAATGTTTTCAAATTGGAAAAGACCAGAGTTCATTATAAATCCTATAGTTAGATAATTTTCTTTTAAAAAATTATCATAGGATCAAAACTTAGAACTGGAAAGTGCAACTCCTTTATCTAACAGATGGGAAAAGTAATGCCCAAGTAGATTAAGTGACTTTTGACAGTTACAGAGGCAATAACATTAGAGATAAGATTGGAACCCATTCCTCTGACTCCAGAATCAGTGTTGTCATATTTAAGGTGATACTCTAATTAGCCTATTATATAGAGAAGGTCTAGAGCAGAGGTCCCCAAACTTATTTGGCTTATTGCCCCCTTTGCAAAAAAATTACTCGATGCCTCCCTGGAAATCTACTTTCTTTAACCCTTTAATGTTTTTTCTTAATTTGCATCATTTAAAAAATGAAATACAATTTTTTAAAATGACACATCTTAAATTTAATAATTTATGGTAAATTTGTGGGTTTTTTCCTGCATTGAAATTTTGATGATGCAATATTGTGTCATGTAACCATATAGTATCATATTGTAAACAAGTCATTACATACACATATTCCTGCCAATCCATGCTGCACTTCCCAACAATGAACGGCGCACTCACCTGCCAATACTTGTTTGTTAAGACCTGTTGGTGGACTTGACCACTGATAAGTTATAATTTGCACTTTCTGTGTTTATTTGGAAAATAATGTAATCACTATGACTTTAACTCTGTTACACAACAGATGAAACATGTACAAATGGCTTTTCAAAATTTTCTTCTCTTCTTTCCTTATGCTTCCACAGACCCCTTATTCTTATTCAATGCCCCCACAATTGTACCTAAGCCTACTACTGCCCCATTGGATCATTCCAGTGTCCCACAGGATGTGTTACTGCCCACTTTGGGAGCCTATAAGGAACAAAATCAATAAGCCCCTTTTGTAGTTGAATAGTCAAGAAGTCCCAGAAGTTGAATTGGAGACTTGAACTATATCTTAGTTTTTTTATTAAATGTTATCTTAAACCAGATTTGCTTAGACAAAAATAACCAGATAATTTCTAGATTCTGTGCACTAATTTATCTCTTACTGTGTCAAAGAGAAGTTTTTCATTGGTTTTATTGGTTCAACATTAGATTATTTTTAGAAATTTCTGATGACTTCAGAATTCAAAAGATTGCTCTTTATAGGGGTTAGATGGCACAGGCTAAAGTGCCCTTTTAGAGTTGAAAGCTCATGCAAATGCACATATGGCTTCTAAATAGCTGTGGGACCATGGCCAAGTGACTCAACCCTCAAGTACCAGTACTTATTTTATAAATTAATGATGGTTGATTTGGTGGAGCATTTTCTAAACCAATAATTCTCTACATTGAGAAAATCATTCCTTATCTACTATTCATTCACAGACAAATAGCTAGGAAATGTGAAAGTGATCAGACAGGTATGCTTTTGAATATCTCTTTCTATGCCATTTTAAGTTCTGCTATATTAAAATGTTTATTTTTTTAGATAAACTTGATGAAAGAATTAACCCTTCAGTCTTACTCTCTAAAACTCTCTCTATATGTGTGTTTGTGTGTGTGTATATATGTATGCATACCTTCTCGATTGTTATTAGCTCTTCAATGAAATTCTCATATAGTAACCACTACAATTTAAATAACAGGATCATAGATTTAGAAGTTGAAGGGACCTTTGGGGGTCATCCAATCCAGCTTCCTTATACTTTTATAATTATACAATTACATCTGCCTTCTTTAATTTTTTAAGCCCATTGAAGGTGAGGAATGGGAGGAAAGAAGGGATAATGCAAAAATTTAAAAATTGTCTCAAGAAATCAAGGAGCAATGCTATGATTTCCATGTGCCTAACAGAATTCCACATGCCTTGCCATCAACAGAAACATAATGCTAAGTTTCCACTGACACCAGGTGGATGACTTTGAAAAAACACTTTTCTATGTTTAAAAAGAGTCTTGTTTAAATGTTTTTCTCTTTTCTGTACTTCTAATATAGCAGTAGTGGTGACATTTTCTAATAATAACAATAACAACAACAACAATAGCTAGTATTCATATAGTGCTTTAAGGTTTATAAGAACTTTACAAATAGTATCTTATTTAATATTCACAACCCTGAGAGGTAAGTGATATTACTAATCCCGTTTTAGAGATGAGGAAACCAAGGCAGACAGGGGTTAAGTGACTTGTCCAGGATCACACAGCTACAAAGTATGTGTAGCTGAGTTTGAACTCAGGTCTTCCATACTTCCACCTAGAATACCTGTCAGAAGCTAATTTACTTCTGGAAGTTCTGCAATGGTGTGCTTTCCATGTACCACTATGGAGATGATACTGTTGCCCTTCCCCCACACCTCACATGGAAGCATAGGAATTAAATGTTGGGGAGAGGGGAATGGCTAACACTAAACTTTCTGCATGACTTTGGGCAAATCACCTAACTTCTTTGGGTTTCTATTTCCCTTGCATTTATGAATTAGACTAGATGTTCTCTTTCTCTCTCTCTAAAGTGCCTTCCAGCTCTAACATAGAATGGATTTGATGATTCTATAAATCCATTAGGGAAAATTAAAAAAAAGAATTTCACCCAAATCCCTCTGAGATAAAGAGCTGAAATATGTCCCACAGCTATTGTAGTAATTTAAACCATTTTGGAGAATTAGGGTGTCCTCTGTTTTTTTTTTTAATCTGTTGACCCAAATATGTAGATTTTATAACAGCCACAGACATACTTAATTCATTTAAACTAAGAAACAAGGACTGCCCATCATATTCTCCCTGCATTAAAAAAACTGCATGTATAATTTATATCAGGGTTTCTTCAGATGCTCCTTTATCCTCACAAGGATTCATCTTTGTGTAGACAGGTAAAGTCCTACAAAATACAATGAACAGCAACAAAATAAACTATTCCAAATGATTAATCTTTTCCAATGTCCAATTGGGTGGCCTGAAATAACAAAACTTTGTTACAACTGATTAAATACAACAAGAAATCCTGTGGAATGAATGGCCTCTCTTTTCCTTATTTATGTGACATTCACTATACAGAAGGAATTGATTATATGCTGAAGAAAGAAGAACTAACCTCTTCATGGGTCTTTTGTTCTGCTATCAATCAAAATTTCCTTTTAGCTGTCCTTAAATATCCCACGCCATCCACCAAAAAACAAAACGCGTACACATGCACATCACATATCTAGGAGCATGGAAGAAGAAAGAAAGGCCTTCTATAACTGGGTTCAAAGAGTTTCCTTTAGTTTCTAATTCAAATCTATAGACTGCCTCTTCAAATTTTAGCTGCTCTGGGTTAAGGAAAGGAAAAAAAAAACCAATAATAAGATAAGGCAGAGTCAGGGGTTCTAATTTTGTCTCTGTTATTATTAATTCTTTATGTAACCTTGGATAGGTCATTTCTTTCTGAGCATCAGTTTCTTCATCTATTTTCTCTGAAAATATCACTGGGTTTCATCATACTGGAACATTTTTAGACAGTTTAAAATGCAATTGAAAGGTGCTATCATCACACTATTTTAATTTCATCCCCTATAAATATTATTTTTTTAGTAATGGAATACTTATAAGAAAAATGTTGGAAGTCTCACAATGATGCAACATGGTATAATGCTCACATTATATTTGTAGTCGGAACATTCTGATTTGAATGCTGATTCTGTTGCTTACTATCTGTATAATCATGAACAAATCTGAAACTCAGTATCTCAGCTATAAAACGAGGCCACCAAGGTCCTTTCCAGGTGTAAATCTTGTAATTCTATAGGCTTGTATCACAAGCCTTCAGGTTTGTTTTATAGGAATAGGATTTTTGATTTCTAAAATCTGCCACCACATTAACTACAAATCTTTCATTCGTTCAATGAATATCTTTTTTTTAAACCTGTTACTGTTTACCTAAATTTGGTTATGCTAGATATTATCTTAATATTAGTCATTATTTATTTGAGCAATTATATTTTGATAATTCTTCCTAGCACATTAGTTTGGTCAGCTAGGTGGTGCATTGGATACAGTGCGAAGTCTGGAGTCAGGAAGACTCATCTTCATGAGTTCAAATCTGGCCTGAAATACTTACTAGCTATGTGACCCTGGGCAAGTCACTTAACCCTGTATGCCTTAGTTTCCTCCTCTGTAAAATGAACTGGAGGAGGAAATGGCAAACCACTCCAATATCTCTGCCACGAAAACCCAAAAAGAGGTCACCAAGAGGCTGACACAACAACAAAGCTCATTAGTTAACATGCAGTATAAGTCTTTATTGCTCTAGTTAATTAGCACACAATGACCATTAGATTGGAGATTTTACTATTTTCACACATTAGTAACTAACAGAGAACTTGAAGTTAAGTTTTCTTAGTTTCCATCTTTTGCAAAGCAATTCAGTCATATTACTTATATAGACCATTTCTTTCAGTGAAATAGAATCACTAAAAAAAATAATTAAAAAATTAGAAGGAATCTTACAAATTACTAAAATCTAATCTCTTCATTTTGCGGATGAAGGAATTCAGAACCAAATAAATTAGCAAATTAGTTATCACATAATACATACTAGCCATTTGCAGAGCTAAGAATAATATCCCAGGCCATTTGAATTCTAGTAGACTGATTTTTTTGGTTGAATGGCACTGCCTTAAACTCTGGTCATCTATGAAAAATTGCAATGCACATAACTGTCCTGCATCAGAGTAGTTCATGTGAATGGTTGTGAACATCAGTTATTCTGTTTTGGTTAAAATAATTCCAAGGTTTAGAATATAAAGGATACTAAAAGTAATTGCATTTCACCTGGATTTTTTCTTGCTTTTGTCACTAAGAGTGCTGGGAAAGCTAAAAGTATTTTACTTTTGGCACAGGTTTGGGATGAAAACCTTGCAAAATCAGCTGAGGCTTGGGCTGCCACGTGCATTTGGGACCATGGACCTTCTTATTTACTGAGATTTTTGGGCCAAAATCTGTCTGTACGAACTGGAAGGTAGGAGGCAGTTTCACTGATATAATTCATCCACATGAATTTATTGCTTATGGAGCTCAGGCTTGAGCAATACCAGTTGTTGGTCTAATGAAGATTTTTCATTTTGTTCAACTATCAATAAATCACTTGAATAGAGCTTAGTGAAGCCAATTTTCCTCTTTGTTCTAGAAAGTTACACAGCCTTCTGAGCATGAACTGGCTAAAACCCTTCCTCTACCTCAAACCACCCACTAAAATTTTTGTAGTGATCAGCCTTATTCAACCTTCCTCCCAGACAATCCAGGGAAATTCCTTAGCTGCTGCAGAATCCATACTCATGGCTCTGCAGTGCATGAGAAAAGCCCATTTTTAAGGAGAAGAGGTGGAGAATTCAGAGTTGGAAAGAACTATGACAACATTACCATAGGTGTGAGTCATCTCCCCATCTCCTTCCCCTTCTTCCACCCCAGCTCCTGCCAGTTCCTTCCACCTACACTGACTCTGCTTCAACAAGTTTGCCCTGCTCTGGAAATACTTGATTACATCAAGATTATTGTCTATGCACCCTCTGCAGAAAGTTGTACAAAATACAACTTTCTTTAACTTGAGGTAAGGGAGTATGTGAAAAAGAAACAGTTCACCCTTAACAGAGTTTAATTTTCATGTGCTGAAGAACTTAAGAACTTTAAATCTATTCATTCTTAGTTGCCTACACATCCTCAATGGAGGTTCTACTTCAGTGTTTTCTCAGACCTTGGAGGTGAGGAGCCTGGGCTCTTTCTCTCAAAGGTAATATCATTAGAGTACATATTCTGGCTGATTTAACCACACTGGGAAAACTCCAAACAGAGCCCCGACTGGGGGCAGACTCTCCATCTTATCCAAGTTCAAGAAGTTCATTGAAAGAAACTTGGTATCTAGGTGATTTTTTGTTTTGATTTTGATTTTTTGCTCTGAAAATCCAGGAAATTTTGTTAATGAATCTCATTTCTGTATACTCCCCTTCACATTTATCAGTGATTGTGGCAAGGGGTATAAAAAGAGGCAGAGGGTACAAAAATATCACAGAGTTTTTAGTAAACAAAGAGTTAATTTAATTGTTGGTTATCTGAATATTCATTTCTATCTAAAAAACTTTGAAATAGGAGGAGGAGCTGATTCCTTTCATATTGATACTCTAAAGGAAACCAGAAGACATAAAAAATTGAAACTGAAACAAAGGTAGTTCACAATTTCTCCTTATTAGCATATAAAAAAGTGCTTGATGTTTATTTCATCCAGAGGCAAAAAGAAATGGGGTACTTGATTACCTTATCCTGCAGTGCTCACAATGACCATATCCAATGAGACCATATTAGACATAGTCTGAGTTTATGTGCCATATTCATTGCAATGTTGATAGAGTAGAGAGACTCTATGAAAAACTTAACAAGACCCAAACCAAATCAAATCAATATATGCCTTTATACTTTATTTTTCAATGTACAGGTTGATATAAAGGAATAATTAACCTCTACAAAATACTTTAAAGTTTGCAAAGCAATATAGATATAGTTATAGTACATATATATATATAATACATACACATAATGCATGAAGTACTTAGTACATATACATATGTATGATATGTATGTGTGGTTTCATTTGAGCTTCACAAGAAAGGTAGGTATTATTATTTTATCCCTTTTATACGTGAGGAAACTGAAACAAGAGTAAATTTCCCAGGATCACACAGCAAGTATGTCACATTTGCAGCAGGATTCAAACTCGAGTTTTCCTACTTCCTACCTCAGCACTTCCTCTATTGTGACTCCTATTCACCTAGCTGTCTCCATCTATTACACCACCTCAGAATATAAAAGCAATATTACAAAATATATCTCATTATCAAAAAATGAAAGAGGACCAAAATTTTTAGATTCATCAGAAACCCATGCTTATACAGAATCAAGATTTTCTTTAAGAGAATCAGGAGGTATGGGATGAAATGAAAACTTAAAAAAAACAACAGATAGGAAACTACAGGTTAAAGACATAGCAGTCATTTCAGAATGAGCTATTTGCATGTTGTCAAACAAGCATATTGTTTTTGGAACAAAGGCCAAAATTAATTTCAAATTTGCATAAAACTTAAAGAGATGTGTGTAATTGGAACAGTTCCAACCTAACCTGTTTAAACAAATTGTTTATTGAAAAAAATACATTAATTCTATTAATAAATTCTTAGAGAAACAGATGCTACAACCAAAATGTTGAAAGAGCCATAAAACTACTTTAGGAAACAAACCATTCGTCTCATTGTCAACTGAAGAGACATGGAAGCCAAGAGCAACAACTCTTCAGAAGACAAGCTCCTTTTTTTTTTGAAAAGTCATCACACAGATAATGAAATGTGTGGAAAAAAAAAACAAACTAGCCTTTAAGAAAATAAATGTGATATTCATCTAAGTTAAATCATCCTCTTAGCATACATAGTTGAAAGGAAATACATGTAAAAGTGATTCAATTTTATCATTTATGTACCAAGCACCATATTACCAATGATGCCTTGAGCATGAGAAACAGCATAAAAGATATTTCATAGAACATAGATTTAGAAGTAGAAGGAATCAGAAGCCATACAGTCCAACATCTTCATTTTACAGATTAGAAAACTGAGGCTGGGTGAGGTTAAATGATCTTCCCAGGGTCGAAGAGTTCAGAGGCAGGATTTGAACTCATGTTTTTGTGACTCCAGGCCAAGCCCTCTAGTCTTTGTACCATTTAGAGTTGAAAAGGGCTGCAGTGGCCATGTAATTCAGCTGAAACCTGGGAGTAATATCTTCTATAAAACTCCTGACAAGTGATCAGCCAGCCGAAGGCCTGAAATGAAGGGTAGCCTGCCATTTTCTAGGCAGTCCCTTTTATTATCAAAAAGACCTGAGTGTCTAGGAGAGAGGATGCCAGTCATATAGAAAGAATGAGATATAACAGATACTCCAAGTGATGCATTGGTACTGCGGAGATATTAAAAGAACAAAAGGAAGATAAATAGAGCATTTAGGTGAATTCTCAATGGAAGGACACTGACAAAATTTCAGGAAGGAGAAGATATTGAGAGACTGTGATCAATATCAGTCGAGGAAATATGCACACTATTGTGATCATTGATCTACAAAGTGTCTAAGTCCATGTAAGCAATTCTTGATTACTAAAGGAAAAAAATACCAATGAAAAACAATATCACAGCAAATAAAAAAGTTTGTCTTTGAAAGACAATCAACCACACATTCTAGGCCTGAGCTCCTCCTTGTTTGACTCTATTGATAGTGCTCTAGGGACCCACTAATTCCTCACGAGGAAATTGATCTGTGACATATTCACAGCTTATTCTGACAGTGGGCCAGGGATGAGGAGCCTATGGCCTCAAGACCCCATGTGGCCTTCTAGTTCCTTGGGTGTGGCCTTTTGACTGAGTCCAAACTTTACAGAACAAATCCTTTTTATTAAGGGGAAGTTTGTATTCAGTCAAAGGCTGCACTTGAGGACCTAGATGACCATATGTGACCTCAAGGCCACAGGCTCCCCACCCCTGGTAGCCCCACTTCCTCTGTGTTTCCCCTTTTTCTCTCTCTCTCCTCAATCTCTCTCCCTCTCCCCCTCTCTCATTTCCTTTCCTCCACCTCCATTTCTCTCCTTTTTATTTTTATATCTAGGTATCGCTCCATTCTCCAACTGGTAAAACCATGGTATGATGAAGTGAAAGACTATGCTTTTCCATATCCTCAAGACTGCAACCCCAGATGCCCTATGAGATGTTATGGACCAATGTGTACACATTACACACAGGTAATCAGAGTTGTCTTCATTTTTAATATAAATTTAAAATATGCTTGCTATTTTCATGTTATTATGTATTTTATTGGATCTTGGACTTCAACAAAAGAATAATTATTTATTTAGATGGTCTGGGCTACTTCTAATCGGATTGGCTGTGCAATCCATACCTGCCAGAACATGAATGTTTGGGGAGCTGTGTGGCGGCGAGCAATTTACTTGGTATGCAACTATGCCCCCAAGTAAGTATTTAACTTTTATTTAATAGACACTTCATAGAATCCTCATTTATGGTCAGTTACCTGTTCTGATTCTGTTGTACCAGGGCCTCCTTTTCTGTTACATGAGACATGTAATTGATGTGCCTATCTTTTGCAAGAGAGGAGTGATTTTCTATTGACAATGAATGTAAATCCTTTGAATTCAAACTTATCTTGCCTAAAATATCTGTATTTCTCATTAGCCAAGGTATGGGAAATAGAATAGGAGTACAGGGTTTGGGGTTATGTAGGTAGGCTTGGAGAATAAGAAGAATGTATGTTTTTGTATTCTCTACAGTCCTGAGGCCTAGCATTGTCCAGATATGCTTGCTGGGATGTGGGGTTATGGGGGCATTAATTTGGCAGAATCTAAGTTAAAGGTCTATCCTACTCTTAGATTTCTCTCATATGAATCATCTATGATAAAGAAGGATTTCTCAACCACCATCCCCTCAAGATTAGGAATTCCAGGCTCTAAACTAGAAAAATTAGTTTGTAATATGATATTTGCATAGCATTCTCATCAGTTTCTTTCTTTCTTTTTTTTTAACTTTTTAGGCAATTGGGGTTAAGTGACTTGCCCAGGGTCACACAGCTAGTAAGTGTCAAGTGTTTGGCCCGAGACCGGATTTGAACTCAGTTCTCCTGACTTCAGGGCCAGTGCTCTATTCACTGTGCACCTAGCTGCCCCATCATTAGTTTATTTCTTTAAAAAATTTAGACTTGAAGTTTCATTGGTATAGGGAATTTCTAACATGGAAACTCTCTCTACCAATGCAGGTCTGCATGTCTTAGAGGACTGCCTGAAGCACTGAAAGGTTAAGTGGCATGTCAAGTAATATGTGTCAAACTCAACTTTATTGACAGTTACATGCAGGGTCCTCAGGACAGAGCCATACAGGGAATTTTCTATGGATCTTTCATCATAGTGTGGATTATGAAAACTAAAAGTTCCTTTATAAAACTGGACTGTTTTGTGATTATACCTGTTGAATTCTTCCCTGGGATTTATGAGGAAGAATCTCCAGAAATTATTTTTTAATTGTTATCAGCAATAAAATAGTTTCCATGGAAGTAAAGTACATTGGAAAGGTAGCTCCTTCATTTATTTTCTTAAACTAGATTTCTGAATCACATGTATTATATGGACCCCTGAAGATAAATGAGGATATTTGATCAAAAGGTAGATTTTAAATATGGATAGTTTCTTTTTTTAAAAAAAAATTACTGATCTTTCAATTTATATGCAAATAAACTCCTATCTCCTTTCTCCTGGATTTTCCCAACAGTCTTTTGTTGATCTCCCTATATCTAGTGACTTCCTCTCCAATCAATCTTTCACACAGTTACCAAATTAATATGCCTAATATGCTTATTTGATCATATCACTCCCTTGCTCAAGGAGCTTAAATGACCCCCTGTTACATCTAGTATAAAACACTAATTCCTCTTTTTGGCATGCTCTTGCTTATGTCCTCCTCCTCATCTCACACCATTCAGTTGCCTTATACTTCTATCTCCTCCTTCACCCAATCTCACATGAAGAGTAGGTAGCCTTTTTCCATGCCAAGGCTAACCTCTCTACATGAATAAATGGTCCCATTGCTTCTTTCTCCAGCAGATTGCCCCCTGTATCATCCCACTCTCATTAATTTTCAGTCGCTCACTGTCTGCTGGTGACTTTTCTATTGACTACAAACAAGCCCATTTCTTCCCTATCTTCAAAAAATAATGTTCTTTTGAGGCATCTATCCCCATTAGTTATCACACCATATCTCTTCTCCTTTTGTTGTTTTTTTTAACTTAAATTTATTTATTTTTAGTTTTCAACATTCACTTCCATAAGATTTTTAGTTTTAAATTTTCTCTACCTTCCATTTCTTTCCCACCCTACCCTGGAGATGGCGTACAATCTGATATAGGCTCTATATGGAAATTCATGTTGAGCATATTTTCCCATTAGTCATGACATAAAGAACAATTAGAACTAATGAGAGGAACCATGATAATGAAGCAATAGAACAAAACAACAAAGGAAAAAGAGAGCAAATAGTATGCTTCCATCTGCATTAAGACTCCACATTTCTTTCTCTGGGTGTGGATCCCTTTGGTGTTTCAAATTCTTAAGAAGGCTGTCTACGATCAGTGCCTCCACTTTCTTTCATCTCATTCTCTTCCTAGTTCTCTGCAGTCTTGTTTCTGACCTCATCATTCAATTGAAATTATTCCCTCTGAAGTTACCAATGATTTCTTATTCACCAAATCTTGTGACCTTTTCTTGATTCTTATCCTTCTTAACTTCTCTCCAGCCTCTAATACTGTTGATCACGCTCTTCTCCTTGATAATCTCCTCTTTCTAGGTTTCCATGACACTATTTCTATCCTAGTTATCCTCCTACCCATCTGACCACTCTTCAGTATCCTTTTCTGGCTCTCATCCAAGTTGTACCCACTAACTGGATGTATCCCAAGGCTCATTCCTGGGCCCTCTTCTCACCTCTATATCATTTCCATTGTTGATCTCATCTACTCTCATGAATTTAATTAGCATCTCTATGCTGATGATTACTAAACCTACTTATCTAGATCTAATCTCTCTCATGACCTATCCAGTCACTGAACTCCAAATGCCTGTTGGATATCTCAAACTGGATATCCTATAGCTATTATGAACTCATCATGTACAAAGGTAGATGCAGAAAGCTGAACTCATTTTCACCCCAAACCCTTCCTTCTTCTAAACTTCTTTATTACTGCTAAATATACTACCATCTTTCCAATCATCCATGTTTGTAGCGTAAGTATCATCTTTGACTCCTCACTCTCTCTTACCCACCATATCTATTCTGTTGCTAAGTTCTATCAGTTATACCTTCATAACATTTCTCTTATATGCCTGCTTCTCTCCTTTGACACAGTCACCATCCTGTGCAGGTCCTCACTACCTCATGACAGTAGTCTTCTGGTTAGTCTCCCTGTCTCAAGTCTCTCCCTTGTCTGCCATCATTCACTTAATTGGACTATTGACCTTCCTAAAGTGCAGGTTTAATGAAGTTCACTGCCCTATTTAATGAACTATAGTGGCTCCTTTTCACCTCCAGGATAAAATATAAAATTTTCAATTTATTGTTCAAAGATCTTTGTAATGGCCCCAGAGGTGTGCTGGAGTTAGGTCCTACTGGCTCACTGTTTTTTTTTTTTTTTCCTTAGTGTGAGAATTTACACCTTGGGAATTGAAAAATGATACAAATGAGGACTTGATTTATTTTTTTGTTGATTGTCTAGACTTAAGAAAGTGATGGAGAAAATGTTAACGCAAAGAGTATGTTCTTCACACATTTTTACACTTTTGGAGTTTTAACATTTAACCAGTATACCCCTGCCTGGCCTCCTCCTGCCTTTCTAATTTCCTTATACTTGATTCCTTCCCACATTCTCTTTTGACCCAGTAACAATGACCTCCTTGTCTTTCCTTGCATAAAATGTTCTATCTCCAGCCTGGGCATTTTCACTGGCTGTCGCCTTTGTCTAGAATTTTCTCCATTTTCTGGAATCCCTGGCTTCCTTCAAGTTCCAGCTAAAATTCTGTCTTCTACAAGAAACCTTTCCTAATACTCCTTGATCGGAAGCCCTTCCTTCTGTTGATTATTTTAATTTACTTTGTATATGTCTTGATTGTACACAATTATTTGCTTGCTGTCTCTTCCATTTTACTGGAAGCTCCTTGAAAACAGGCATTTTGTGTGTTTGTTTTCCCAATGCTTAGCACAGTTCTTGCCCCATAGTAGGTGCTTAATAAACATTTGTGACTATTACTGACTTTCCAATCTGTTTCCAACTTTTATTTTTTAAAGTTCCTTTTAGCTTTTTTGATAAATTTTGATTTGCCATGGAAGAAAAACCTAAATTTACAATGAATACTCTCTGAAAACAATTAAATATAATAACAATAAAGATTACTTGAAACTGATGGTACATGCAAATGTTTATGTAGTACCATTTTGTGGTATATTGTGTATAACCTGAATTTTGTTGCTGTTCAATATTGTCTGTTTTAAACTAAAGTTTTTTTTTAATTAAATGATATATATTTCTTGCTCTGTTACCCCTTTACTCCATTAGGAGAAAAAAAGAAAAAAAATAAGGAAAGCAAATTCCATCCAACAAAGTCAAAGTCAAACAAAAAAAAAATCCTTTACGTTCCATGCTTTCAAAGTAGGTGCCTCATTCTACATCTTGAATCTATCACCTCTATTAGGAGATGGACAGAATGCTTCTTCACTAGTCCACTGGAATCATGGGTGGTCATTACATTGATCATATTTTTTGTAGCTTTCAAAGTTGTTTATCTTTGTGGTGTTGTTGTTTGTTTGTTTTGTTTTTTGGTGAGGCAATTGGGGTTAAGTGACTTGCCCAGAGTTACACAGCTAGTAAGTGTTATGTGTCTGAGGTTGGATTTGAACTCAAGTCCTCCTGACTCCAAGACCAGTGCTGTATTTCCACTGCACTACCTAGCTGCCCCTGTGGTGTTTTTTTTTTTTTTTTTTTTTGAACTTGATTGGTCATGAAGTTTTCTTCTATCCATAAATCTGATAGATAACTTTTCCATGTTTATTTATTTTATGACTTTTATCACAATTTGTTTATTTGTGACCTTTTGTTTATTATATGATCTTTTATATCCAGGTCACATGTTGATTTGGGGCCTATTTTGGCATAAGATGGGAAGTATTCAATTTTCCACATGACTTTTATTTAGTAGTGAGTTTTTATCCCAGTGTTGTTTATCAAACACTAAGCTACAGGATTTGTTTGCTTCTCCATATTGTATATGAATCTGTACTACTAATCAGCTTCTCTATTTTTAATAAATATCAAATCATTTTGAAATTTACTGATTTATAGCAAAGTTTGAGATATGATACTGTTAGGTCTCCTTCTTTTCCATGGTTTTTAAAAATTATTTTCCTTGAAATCATAGA